TGTTCAAACCCGGGTTCAGATGGACTGCTTGCTGGATCAAACAGGAACGGTGAACCAGTGTCATGGTCAGGGCTCTCCTCTGGTGCCTCCGGGGTGATGAAGTCCTCAGCCTCGCTGTTACTGTTCTGGCTCCCGGGGCTCGCTGAACCTGCCTGGTTGCTGCTTCCTGGCGAAGCATTCGACTGTCCAGTCTCAGTTGCAGCTGGTGAGTGTTGCCAACCATGGTGCGGTGATCTCAGTGATAGCTCGGAATAGACAGGTGTTGGTTCTAATTCTGAGTTCACTGCTTCCCCCCCCCCCCCCCCCAGTGTCAAAGTTAGGGTCAGGGTTGGAAGATGTGGTTAGTCTGGAGCGCAGTTGGTCAATATGGCGTTTCCATGGTCTGCCATCTGTGGTGAGTAGACGGTAGGAGCGGGGGCCCGTAACTTGAGTTACCTGGGCAGGAATCCAAAGGGGATCCCCAGAAAAGTTTTTTGCAAAAACAAGGTCTCCTACCTTGAAAACATGGTGCTTGCTGCTGGAACCCAGGGGCTTTTCTGGGGTGTAGGCAGGGTGCAAACGATCTAGAGGCGATCTGAGTTTCCTGGCCATCAGGAGTTCAGCTGGGCACTTGTTGGTTGTGCTGTTTGGTGTGATGTGTTGTAGGAGCAGCATTCTAGTGACTTTGTCGTGGATGTTGCCTTGATCCATTTTCTGTAGGGTTTTTTTCGTAAACTGAACCATTCGTTCAGCCCGGCCATTCGCTGCAGGATGAGCCGGCAATGTGAGTGCATGTCGGATGCCCCGTTCCGCTAAATACTGTTCAAAGGCTAAGGCAGTAAATTGGGGCCCATTGTCAGAGACCAGGACATCTGGTAACCCGTGTGTGGCGAAGAGTCTGTTCAGTTTTTTAATGACCGCCTCAGTAGTGGTTGCTTTCATTTTATTGACCTCAAGCCAGTTTGAGTAGGCATCAACAGTTATTAAGAAGGTGTGGCCTCTCATAGGTCCCGCAAAGTCAATATGAATGCGAGACCAAGGACCCCTGGGTGTTTCCCATTCTGTTGGTGGTGCTTTAGGTGGAGCTGAGTGGTTTTCCTGGCATTTGTTACAAGAGGCGACCCAGGTTTCGATTTGTTTATCTATACCTGGTCACCAGGCATAACTTCTTGCCAGCGCTTTCATATGTACGATGCCCGGGTGTCCATCGTGTAGCATTTGCAAGACCCTTTTTTGTAACTTAGTTGGTACAACAACTCGGTCTCCCCACAAAACGCACCCTTTTTGTGAAAAAAGTTCTGTTTGTCTGTTTTTAAATGGCTTAAACATTTCCTTAGTGTCATAATCTGGCCATCCCCTCTCCACCCAGCCAAGAACTCGTGCCAAACAAGAGTCTCTTTTGGTTTCAAAAGCGATGTCTTGAGCCGTTAGTGGAGGTGATGGCATTGTCTCTATTTGCAGTATGGGGAGTGTGGGAGCTGGGTCTTCCTGTGGCTCGGGTAGCGGTGAGCGGCTCAAGGCATCTGCGTGAGGAATAGATTTCCCTGGGCGGTACTTTAATTGATAGTCGTAGGCAGCGAGAAATTCCGACCATCGCGTCATTCTGGGGGAGAGAATGTGTGGAGTAGGTTTGTCGCCCGCCAGGATCCCAAGTAGTGGCTTATGATCCGTTATAATAGAAAATGGTCTCTCATAAACATATTCATGAAATCGTTTTATTGCAGAGACAATAGCAAGGGCTTCCTTATCTAATTGGCTATAGTTTCTTTCTGTTTTTGATAGAGTTCGTGAAAAAAATGCAATTGGTGCTTCTGAGCCGTTTGGTAGGACGTGGCTCAGGATGGCCCCTATCCCAAATGGTGAGGCGTCACACGTGACAGTCAAAGGTAGTGTCTCGTTATACTGAATTAGTATTGCCTTTGAGGTAAGGAGGTCTTTTACTTGCTGGAAGGCGTGTTCCTCCCGACGTCCCCAATTCCAGGATGCCCTTTTATCGAGTAGTCTATGAAGGGGCTCAGCAACAGTCGCCTTCTGGGGCAGGAAGATGTTATAAAAGTTAATAAGTCCCAGGAAGGCTTGGAGGTTGGTTTTGTTTTTAGGTCTTGGGGCGTTTTTGATAGCTGCCAATTTTTTTTTCTGTGGGGTGGATTCCTTGCTTGTCAAGGAGGTAGCCAAGAAACTCCACCCTTTCTGTGCAAAGCTGGCATTTTTCCTTCTTAACCTTGAGGCCAGCGTTTTTGAACCGCTGTAGGACTGTTCTGAGATGTTTTTCTAATTGGTTTTTTGTGGGTGCTGCTATTAATATGTCATCAAAATAGGGCACGACCCCTTTTATACCTTGTAATAGTCTCTCCATCAGGCTTTGAAAGATGCCTGGGGCTACGCTTACACCAAACTGGAGCCTGTTGCATTTGAATGCACCACGATGTGTGACTATAGTTTGGGCTTCTGCAGTCTCGGGATCAACTGGTAGCTGTTGATACGCTTGGGCCAGATCTAATTTTGCGAATATTTTGCCACCCCCAAGTGAATGCAGGAGATGTTGAACAACTGGCACTGGGTAGGCGCTCTGCTGTAGCGCATGATTGAGGGTGGCCTTGTAGATTCTTATGGACCCGTCAGGTTTTATGGGGGTGACGATTGGTGTCTCCCATCGGGCGTGGTCAATAGGTTCTAACACGCCTTGCGCAATTAATTTGTCCAGTTGCTTGTCAATTTTGGATTTAAGAGCAAAGGGAACTCGGCGTGGCTTTAGACGAATGGGTGCTATGTCGAGGCGAAGATTAAATGAAATGGGGGACCCTTTGTACTTGCCTAGGCTTTCGTTGAACACTTCTCGGAAATCGTGGATGAGAGCCGCCTCCCAGTCATTGTCTTCAGTATGATGGATGCCAGCCACTCCGATTCCTAGTGGCACGAACCACTGGAGACCCAATAGACTTGGCCGGTCTCGGTCTACGACGGTGAGTGGTAGAATTGCCTTATGTCCCTTGAACGAGACCTGCACATGGTGGGTACCTGCGACTGGAATCCGGTTGCCTTGATAGTCTTTCAGTATGAGTCTCTGACTGCTGAGGTCTTGGCTTTAATTAATTATCAGTTGCTTGAGTGTTTTCCAGGATACCATGGATAGTGATGACCCAGAGTCGACTTCCATGTTGCACGATTTGTTTTCAATCGTGACCTCTACTCGGATCTTTTTAGCGTCAAGTGATGAAGCGTGGCCGATGGTGATGGTTTGATGAGCCTCCTCTCATCTGGGGGCGTCGTTAAACCTTCGGGGTCTGCTGTACCGGTTCCATTGGTTGCTAGGGCGGTCCCTCTGCGTGGTGGCGTTGCCATCGTTTCTCTTTGGGCTGCTCCCTCTCCGTCTGGGGCTGGAATTTCTCTTGTTTCTGCATACCTTCGCGATGTGTCCCCGTTTCTCGCAAAAACGGCATATGGCATCTAAGAATCTGCATTCGGATCGGGGATGGTTTCCCCCACATCCGGCACCATGGTAGTTGGCTTTGCGACCCCACTGGTCCCGTTGCTCACGTTCTGACCGGAGCCTGTGGACTTCTTCTTCCTCGCTGTCTGAGGATGACTCGACGTCTTCGTGATGGGTGGTTGATGTGTACTTGTCTGAAAGTTTCCCAACATCGTTGGTGGGTTGGCGGTTGGTCCCGCTGGTTCGACGCATTCGTGCTGCCGATTTACAAGTGGCTTCGGCTGCTGTGGCCTCTGCTATGGCATCTGCAAGCGAGATGTCTCCCTTGGCCATGATCTTGCTCTGGACGGTTGGGTCTCTGAGGCCAAGGACGATGCGATCTCTCATGGCTTCTTCGAGGTTGGCGAAGCCACACAAACCACCCAGGTTCCTCAGGTCTGCCACAAAATCCCCAACGCTCTCACCCTCATGTTGGTCCCTCTGGTAGAACTCATGCCTGCGAATGAGAGTTGGCACGGCTGGGACGTAATGGTTGCGCAGGATGGGAGCAAGGGTGTCCCAATCCATGGTTTTAACTTCAGCTGGCTTGGCTAAGGCTTTAGCCATCTTAAAAACGGCTGGTCCACAATGGGTTAGAAAAACAGCTCGTTTCTTGCTGGGCATGGAATCTTTGAGGTTGTTGGACTGCAGGAACATTTGAAATCTGTCCATGTATGAGTCCCAATCTTCGCTAGCTGGATCGAATGGTGCGGGTGGTATAGCGCTGCTGGCCATGTCGCCGTCGTTGCACTCTGTCAACCATGTGCTCCTTCAGCTTGCTCAATTCAATAGCTTCTGTTGCCTCCGCATCCCATCCTCGTCGCCAGTGTTATATCTGGGAGGACGGTTCAAGAACGGAGGCAAGACTCAGATAGTAACTAAAGCTCTTTATTTGTGACTTCAGATCTGAGCAACTAACCCCAGCCGCAGCAGCCCCTTATATAGGGCTGGCTGCGGCTAGGCAGCCAATGAAGGCGATTTGAGTTTGCCACTCTTGGCGGGGCCAATCGCGGCAGCCCGTTTACTGGCCAATCGCATCAGTCTATGGCGACCAATCACGATCAGCTTTCAGTGGGCCAATCAGATTTGCAGGCTACGAGCCTGCTAGTCCGGAACAAAAGGTATTGGTTCAATTATGATTAGCACAGCTGCTTTTGTGTTTATATTGCTGCAATGTTCCTTCTTTTAATCATTCCAAATCAGAAATTCAAAAAGAATTTGTGGAAAAGATCCCAGGACACCTCAGTTTGGAATCTTAGTCCTGGACCTCACCAATTGCTACCGTAATCTCTTCAGTTAGGGTTTGTTTGAAGTTTGCCTAGTTTCTTCTTTGCAAGTAGAGTTTTTTGCAAGAGGTTTTGGAAAGTGTCTCCTCTTTCAAGAGCAGCTTAGTATGTACTACAGCAGGAAGAGTGGCAGCAAACGTCCCAGACATAGTAAACAAGTTGAACTACACAAACACTTTCCTGGATGCTCACACTCTTCGCCACTCAACAGAAAATGAAAGATGGAGGAAATTATAAAGAAATCAGAACATTATGAAGAACATTACCTGAAATGTTCCCTCTTCAGAAGGCCGTAATGATTCCCACTCTGGGGAGTCCAAGAATTGATAAGGGAAAACATAATGTAAAAACTGTCCATCTTGACTTACTTTAACCCTGCAGAAAGAGAGAAAGGAGGGCAGGGAAATTATAAAATCAAAAAGTCTGTTGTGCATTTGCTGAACAATTAAAAGACATATGATAAGGTTCATGCAGGTGGTCATTTATATACAAACAACATTTTCATATAGGATAGAGTTGTTTTAGACATCAATATCTGTGGCAGTTTAAAAATAATACTGTTTAACAATAACAGATTTTTCTGCACACAACATAAATAACGTGAAGACAAAGCAAGCAGATGCAAAGAACAGTTACAGTCAGGAAGAAGGAAGTAATAGTGAGACTTCAAGCTCTGTGTGCCAATTGTTATTCATTAAGAATGACTAGCTATCACTGGAGGCTCTATCACTGGAGAAGAAACTGGACAGCCATTTGTCTAATGGTAGAGGCCAGGGTCTTCTGCTTGATCAGGGGGTGGGCCTACAAGATCTCCAAGGTCCCTTCCAACCTTGTTATGCCTTTTTCTATCAGGACCGGAGAAAACACTAGTGCAATTCATGAAAAGTTAATTTGCTTAATTCCTTAAGGAAATACAGGTAGAGCCTTTTCAGAGTTCCATTCCCTCCTTGGGGGCAGCCATTTTCTGTATTGGACAGCCATTTCATTCAGCCTTATATTGGACAGCCATTTCATTCAGCCTTATATGCATCTACCCATTTTGTCTGTGATGGGAAAAAAAGCAAAGGTTGTCTATGACAACCTATAATCTTGTCCCGCCAATCAAGACACTTTTCCTATCTGAGAAGAGATCTTAGAAAAGATGTGGCAAGGCCCTGATCATTGCTTAGAGAGCATTCCCACCTTCCAGGCTGGATCATCCCCTGGAGCTTTCTTTCTACATTGTTGCTGATGCTTGTATATGAACTATATAATGCTACCAAGGTGCTATTCTTTCTCAAAACAGAGGATAAATTTACCCTAGGGCAGGGGTGTCATCGCGGCCCGTATCATGATGTATTTTGCCTTTGCACAACTGTGGTGGGCGTGGCCTGCACAGGCCATATCTGGCCCACAGCTGCCAGTTTGACAGGCCTACCCTAGGGTTTTAATAAGCATTGTATTATTGAATGCTTCCAGGAAAAAACACATCAATTTTCAAGGATATATTTGGCTTTTGCATTGTTCTAGGAATTTTCAGAGGAATTTTAAATATTTTGCATTTTGAACAGTATGATTAAAGATACATACCTGGTAAAAGTTTTCTGCATTTCATCACAATGACAAACCAATTCCAGAACACCATCCAGTTATTGCTAAATTAAAACATTACTGTCAAGAGTAAAGGTTAATCTTGTGACTTCATTTGGCTTTGCTATTGCTCGAGACTGCCCCTGTTTCACCTGGCTGTACTGCTAATTTGCACACACCCCTAAAAAGGGACTGAGATATGGCAGATAAAGAATAATGCTAGAGGCCAAGTTTTAACTTTTAGATATCTTACGTACAGTGTTTCAACACTCCAAAGTTTGGTGAACAAATTAAATCAATCTCCAATAATGCTAATAATCATATTATTAAAGCTATACTCAAATTTCTTTTATTCTAAAGGAAGCAAGAATATGCTCACTGCCATAAAGATCAATAGCAAATTTTTTCATCCAGATGGGGAAGTTTTATATCAAAATATACTATGTTTCCCAAAAAATAAGAACCGGTCTTATTTTCTTTTAGGCCCTAAAATAAGCATCAGTCTTATTTTCGTGGGTTAAATTACCCACTTACCTTAGGACCACTGCAGGCCTCCCATGCCCCAACCTGTCACACTGCTGCCCGACTTCTGCAGTCGCTCACAGCCGCTTGCTTCCAGATACCATGTGGCTCATCGCACCGGTGCCGCCATTCATGGCAGGAGTCTGCATGGCATATTGCACCATTGTGTGCACAAGCAGTGGCATCGGTGCAATGTGCTATGTGGCATCCTGCCATGAGCAGCAGCACTGGTGCAATGTGCCATGCAGCCTCCTGCTGCAAGCTCCGCCACCAGCAAACCTCTTTGCCCTCAGGCAAACCTCTTTGCTTTTGGAAATAAATACTTCTTCTTTCCTCACAGCTATCTGGATTTCATTTTTATTTACTCTTGTGAAACCCCGGCTTGAGTTGAAACCCCAAATTATTCTTTTTGACACCTTTAACAACCTATAATCCACAGAAACAGCAACTGTCCAGATTCTTAAAAGTGATATTTGGAGGACCGACCTGCATTTCAAATGTAGCATTTAACTCAGAAACTGGGTTAATTCCCTTGGATTTCAGGGCCCGTTTACCCCAGCTGTATTTCTGGCATAACATTTATTTTTCTACTAATTCCCTGGCTACCATGATCCTTCTTGATAACTGTCTCTTCTGGGAAAGTCAGGATCCAGCTTGACTTATATCAATCTGATTTCTCACATTCTGCCCTTTTGACCTTGGGGATTCCCAGTGCAGCAGTAGGAGCTTGATAGATCTTTTCATTTAGAGCAGGGTATATTAGATCCCGACACTGTCAGCCCATTTCAGTGTGTTGCCCTTTGCAATACTGGACACAACTCTTTCTGTAGAACACACTTGACCCTAGAGGGAGCTGCAGACCTGTTGGCAGTAGTTCAAACTCCATCCTCAGATCTCTACCTGCCAACATAAGTTTGCCCTGAAGGGAATCTCATCTGCTATTTACTCTCAGATCAGAACCCAAACACCCCCAGGAGAGTTGCCAGTTCTCTATGTAGTATATGGTTTTCCTTGCTTGTATACAATTTGGATAGCATGCCAGTTTAATAAATTACTGAATAATTATCCTTCTTCCAATATACATTTTAACTCATACATATTTATTCTGAAAAAACACGTATTTATACATTTACTTCATAGCCAAAGAGATAGAATTTCAATATTCTACATTTAAAGTATTTTTATTAATTTGTTTCTCTTACTTAGGATTTATTTTTAGCATCTTGTCACTTGTACTCGCTGTGTTGTAGTAAATTGTATTATGCATGCAAACTGATGTTTTAGAAATGCTTTAAATTGTAGGGATTGTTATTGCTTTCTTTAAGCAAGGTTCTGTTGAATTTACTGGTTAATAACTGTAATAAGGATTGTTCATATAGTAAAATTAGATGGCAACCCAGGGCTCATAAAACAAACTTGGGGACCATATGAGTTGTGTAGGCCAAATATAGAGAGATTAGTGAAGCAGATCTTATTACAAAAAGAAGATGGAGTGTTGATTTCCCTTTCATCATTTGTGCTCTTATTATTTTCATTTTCAACTGCATTTCTTGTTGTATTCAAGTATTGCTCATCAGAAAGCAACAAAATACAAACTTTGGAACAAAGCCACAGATGCCTTCCAGACATGCATGCTGCATCCACAAGACAAGTCATCCGGCCACCTAGCCATGCCTCCACACTGCCACAGTCAAAGGGCAGACATGGCAGCCAGAGCTCTCACAAGCTAACCAAACGTGCTTCTGAAACTATTGGCACAGGACAAGAAAGACATTGTGGGAAGAATAGCAGGAAATAGAAGAAACATCCAACCAATTTTACTCATGGTGATTTACTTAATGCCACTTCATTATACCTAACTGTATTTCTTAGGTCTTATTTAAAAAGCTATATTTTGTCATATCTGCTATTTCTTCCTAAAAAAAAACAACCCTTATATTTTCCTCACTTAAAAATACTGCATCCTGGCTATTCTCAATCGTTTAGAGGTTGTATTTATTAATGTTCTAAAATCTAGGTGGATTCCTGAATAATGATTAAGACACTGATTAGATTTAGAATCCTAGAACTGAAAGAGACTTTGGTATGAGACCTTACATCATCTTGACAAATGATTGTTCAATATTTTCATGAAAACCTCTATCTGTTCCATTGTTTAATTGTTCTCCTTGTCAGAAAGTTCCTCCTTAGTTCCAGGTTGGAGCTATCTAATGAGCTTCCACTCATTGCATAATGTTCTACTCTCAGGAGCTTTGAAGAATAAATCAACCCACCCACTTTCTATGGCAGCCCCTCGTGTACTGGAAGACAGCTATCATGTCACTCCCTAATGTTTGTCTTCATTGGGGTAGATATACCTAGTTCCCTTTAACCATTCATCATATCGTTTAGCCTTCACTCCTTATGATCTTTGTTGCTCTGCTCTGCACTATTTCTAAGATTTCAGCACCTTTTTTGTATCATGGTGACTGGAACTGTAGTTCAAGTGTGGCCTCACTAGTGCAGTATAGAGTGGTACTATAACTTCTTGTGATCTTGATAGCAATGGCAATATCACTTAGACTTATATACTGCTTCACAGTGCTTTACAGCCCTCCATAAGCAGTTTACAGAGTCAGCATATTGCCCCCAACTGGCTCCTCATTTTACCAATCACAGAAGGATGGAAGGGCGAGTCAACCCTGAGCTGGTGAGAATCAAACTGCTAAACTGCTGGCAGAAGGCAATCAGTAGAAGTAGCCTGCATACCATATTCTCACCAGTGGTGGGATTTAATTTTTTTTTACTACTGGTTCTGTGGGTGTGGCTTGGTGGGCGTGGTGTGGCTTGGTGGGCATGGCTTGGTAGTCATGGCAGGGGAAAGGATACTGCAAAATCTCCATTCCCACCCCACTCATGGGGGAAGGTTACTGCAAAATCCCATTCCCTTCCCACCCCATTAACCTGCTTTCCAGCTCCATTCTTCTGTGCAGGGCAACAAAAGAAGACCCAACCGATCAGCTGGGACTCGGGAGGCAGAGAATAGATGGGGGTGGGGCCAGTCAGACGCAGTATTGCTGGTTCTCTGAACTACTCAAAATTTTCACAACCAGTTCTCCAGAACTGGTCAGAACCTACTGAATACCACCTCTGATTCTAATCACTATACCACCACGGTTCCTCTGTTTGATGCATTGGCTTTTTTGACAGCTGCAGCAAACTGCTGGCTCATATATAAGTGGTGGTCCACTAGGATAATAAAGGCACAACATATTTTGTGAGACTTGTACTGAGAATGTCTGACA